TTGGTAGTTTAATACATATTCTTACTGTTCTATTTTTATAAGCGCACATATTAGGTACTGCTAAAGAAACAATTGGTAAATTAACTGCATTAACTTGTCTGATCAGATCCATCCTCAAAATACAGTATTCTGAAAGAGGTCCACCTGCATCATTTTTAATATTATGATCACTATCTACTATTTCAGAGCTTTCCGATAGTATTGTTTCAACATCACATATGCTACAAAATCTAGCATATTACATACAGCCACAAAAATAAACTCCCATCACACAGAAATAGGCATAATTTTGTAATAAAAACAGCAATAAACTACCAATACAAAGCATACTGAACCCTTTCCATATAATTGATAATGTTTCATTAATATGGTTCAATCACTTCAACCAAGGAACACTCAATCCATTATAGTATTTACAGGAAATAAATTGATATGTTAGGCCAGTGATAGCTAACCTTTTTGCCGTCGCATGCCAAAAGTGGGAGGGCACGCAGAGAGGGTGCATGCATGCATGCCCACATCCATAATTCATTGCCCCGCCACGCCCCCATGCATGCATGCGTGACCCCCCCGTACATGCGCGCACAACTCCCCCGCGGCCCGTTTTGGGCCTAGCAGGCCTACCTGAAGCCTCTGGAGGGCGAAAACGGCCTTCCCCCCTCCCTAGAGGCCCTCTGGAGGCCAGAAACAGTCCGTTTCCCGACTTCCGGTGGGCCTATTTTTCACCCTCCCCAGGTTCCAGAAGCTTTCCTGGAGGCTAGGGAGGGTGAAAATGGCCTTCCCCACATCCCCAGAGGCCGGAAACGGCCTCACAGAGCCTCCGCGCGAGCCCTGTACTTACCTGGCATCCAAAACGGGCCGCGTGGAGACTCCTGGGAGGAGAGGTGTGGGCGGGGCCAGCTGAAAATCAGCTGGCCAGCACACGCATGCATGCTGGAGCTGACCTAGGGCAATGGCTCACATGCCCAAAGATATGGCTCCACGTGCCACCGTTCGCCATCACGGTGTTAGGCAATACTCACAATAATTCTTTAATATGGGACATATACTCATAGAGCAATCTTTCCTATAAAATATCTGATATATCAGAAAATGCAAACACTGCTATATATTTACAAATATCATCACAACAACTAATTTCAAATGCTTACCAGCCTTACTATTATTCATACTGCAAATGCATCCAAGATAAACAACTTAAAAGGATCTCAACATACAATGAAGAACTGATTTTACATATTTTTTGGCAAAAGACTTAAATACTCCAAAAACAAAGACAAATGAATTGGCAAAACAATACTTCTGAAGCAGCTGCTCTAAAGAATGCAGGGGAACCAAATCAACTCTCCCACAAGAAGTCCAATGGCAGATATTAAAAGGATTGTTTGGAATGCTATATTAAGAAATAGCTTATGTTGATGGCAATTTGTGAATAAAATTATGAAGAGCTGCCAGCTGGATATATTTACGAAATACACCTAACCACTAAAGGCATGTGTGGAAGCTCTCATTTTCTCTAGAAGCATACATATTTTATGTATGACTTCCAAACTACTGTTGTCACTGAAGTTCACCATTGTGCTCTCCTTCATTCATCCAATGTAAGTTCTGCAGTTCTAAAAGTGCTCTTGTTGTTAGATCAGGATCAAAAACACTGACCTGGCAATAAACTAAATAATAGATATAAATAATAGATACCAAACAATGTCAGAGTAATTATGATGATTGCATGCATTACTTGTGGATTGCCTTGAGGAACCCTGGTTGTCAATGCTATTAGCATGATGTGGTTTTATCTGGCTGTTTCTTCAAAATATGTAAAAGATTTCAACTTGAATTATTTCAAATTCAAAGCATCATTTTGTATGGAAAACTGGGGTGTTTAACTACTTAAGAAATATCCTGTGTACATAACAGTGGTTTAAACTCAGAACATTTCTGTAACTGCTTGTTATATATTCACAATAGCCATTTCACACTTGAAATGTGACTTTGTGAATTCAAAATTGTTCAAATTTGAAGCATTTTGCACATCCCTAATTCTTCAATGCTCTTATGAAACAAGATGCTAGGAAACAACAAAAAATGAATTCATGTAAGATTATAATTGATACATTAACTTTTACTAAATGCATTCAAACACTGGACAACTAACTGTATGGGATACCTTAGACTTCTATAATGAGTATTGGTTGTCTTGATATATCAACCTTATCAACCTTCAGTGCTATGACCATTGTTTGAAATGAAATGAGAAGAAAAAGAGTGGATAGCCTAGTAAAATTGATAAAATTCAGAATTCATTATAAACTTTTAATTTCGTATTAGTAATAAACCTCCTAGGAGCAGCAAGTCTTGCTTCTAACATTTAGAAGATAAGGATGTGCAACATCAGAGTTCAACATAGTTTATCTAGAAACTCTTATAAAGATCCAAAATATCAACAGACTACAGCTATTACAGCTTTATATAGGTAGTCCTCAACTTAGAACCATTTGTTTAGTGATCATTTGAAATTACAAAAGTACTTAAAAAAGTGACTTATGACCAGTTTTCACACTTATGACCAGTGCAGCACTCCCCTTTGGTATGTGATCAGAATTCAGACACTTGGAAACTGGCATGTATTTATAATGGCTGCAGTATGATTACCTTTTGGCGACCTTCTGACAAACAAAATCAATGGGGAAGCCAGATTTATTTAACAACCGTGTTGCTAACTTAATAACTGCAGAGATTCACTTAACAACTATGATAAGAAAGGTCATAAAATGGGGCAAAACTCATTAAACCACTTCTTGCTTAGCATCAGAAATTTTGGGACTATGCATGCATATGTAGATTTTGGAAATAACTGGCTCATGTGCAGAATTTTTTTCCTGCCAATCCATCAAAATTCAGATATAAACATCTTTCAAAATTATTATGAATTTTTTTTCTGTTAGTTTTTGATATCTCAATAAAAGGGCAAATAGGATGAGATACATATGGTTTTTCATGAAGGGGAAGCAGGTACTGTATATTTGTCTTTAACCTTAAGGATTAGATTAAAGGAAGAATAAACTTCTAAGTATAGCTTTACAAGAGAATACTACCTTTCAATTAGCAGATACAAAAGTTTATTTTACACTGGCCATAACGTAATCCAATATAAATAATATCCAAAATTTCAATTTTACACAGCCACCACACTTCAAGGAAATCTTCCATCACTTTATTTCCATCTCTTAAGTCATACAGGGTCTCCAAAAATTAGTTCCAAGGTTATCAACTATTCTCTTAATAAACACTTGCCTAAGCCAAAATTTAGAATTAGTTGCCCAAACAAGGATTCTTGTAAATATTGTTTTTTTTTTAAAAAAATCATTGAGTTCCTTTAACAAAACAGGTTATCACTTCCTATAAAGCAGTACTTCACAAGTCACTGAGCTACTTTCCTGCAACATGTTCCAGAGTATAACATAATATAAGCAAAATAAATCAAATTAATAGATTCAGGAAAATAATTAAAGGGGCATGATTTTGAGTTTTCCCATCTTACACAATATAGCAATTTGGGTGTGAAGATGACAGGCAATATTGCTGTTTCTATTCTTATAAATCAACTGAAGGGCAACTGAAAAAAGATTCTAAAGATACCTCCAGATTCCAATTTTAATTACTTATGAATTGAATGGATTTTATACACCAATATGAATAGAATGAAAGATTTTTCTTACTATAGATTATTGGAATTCTTATATGAAAATATTTTAAATATAGTAATTTCATCTACACAAAAACCTTAAGAATGTTTTATTCCATTTACAATAGAAGGTAATTTGAGCATAGCTCAATATACCATTAGCAAATTAGCCTGTGTATACTTAAACAAGATGATGTTCAAAGTAGTGAAAGGATAAAAGGTAAAGGGTTCCCCTTGCACATATGTGCTAGTCATTCCGGACTCTAGAGGGTGGTGCTCATCTCGGAAGAGCAGAAGAGTCAGAGTTGTCCGAAGAAGTCTCCGCGGTCATGTGGCTGGCATGACTAAATACCAAAGGCGCACAGAATGATAGCAATCCATAAAGAACTATTTTAACTTTTACAAAAAACAGTGTTCTACAAAAGGTGTGTTTTGCCATTTTTTCATATTAGGCCTTAGATGACCTCCTTGCTTTTTAGTACATTACTCATGCTTTTTTGTATACTACATTTACATTATCTACCTATTCACAGGAAAGCATATACTAAAGTACTTGCTTGCAAGAAAAGATTTAACTTGATTAGCCTTCAGACTGAGTAAACAATATATACTTTCACAGTGAAGAATAAATGTAGCAAAACATCTGTTTTGCCCACCACTTCCTTCGTGAAGTGGGAGGGTGCAAAGAACAGGAAAAGTATCCTTTTGATAACAGAGAAACCTCAAGAAAACTAAGCAGACATCAGTAAATTCCTCTGTTTTTAGAAACAGGGCTATTTTCCACTTGAATCAGAGGAAAATATGCTGCACTTTTATCAAATGTAAGCCCAAAACAAAAAACATACCAAGAAATGAGTAGTAGTAGAAATATTTTAGTGCCTCTTTAATATGCTGTTAATTACATAATTGAGACATAATTCTACATATTATAGCCCTCAGTTATCACCAAAATGATTTTATTGCTTTATTAAGTGAAAAGCAAAATGACATTCTAGGTAACTGCAAATATGCCAACTCTGTACAGTAGCCATGCCTCTAAACTTCACAAACCAAACCAATGATTTCAAAGTAAAATATAAAAACTGTATTACTTAGCTGCAAGTTAAGCAAATCTCAAAGATATATGTATTTTAGCTACATTGTTACATCAGAATGTTCAAAGTTTGCATACAAAGCATAAGCTTTTTCATTTTTTAATTGAAAACTGAAAAATATATTGCTCTTGACAAACATATATAACTAAGTATGCACATCTCAACGTAAACTATTAAAATATATTCTTTATATTTGGAGTTTATTGAAGAGCCTCTCTTACCACAATTGCATTAGAAGAGTGCACCAATGGCTTCAGTTCATTCAGGTCGTTCTCAGCCTAGAAAATGCAATGTTAAAAATAATTAAGAGAAATTAAAAAGGTAAACCAAAGTTGGTGAAATATACTCTATTATCTATAAATTAATAACCTAGATTTATTTTTGTTTACTTAGAATTAAGCCTCATTGTAATGAACAGATTGGCTTTACTTTTAAGATACTATGCATAAGGTTGCAATCACTGTTACAATTTGGCAACCTTATGCCTCTTTTATTACCTTATCCCATTCTCCTTCCATGACATGATTGCGGAATTTGGTGGCAGAAGGGTGTTCTAAACGACATCCTGACTCTTGCATGAGAAGATCAACAGTCTGGCTGTGAGAGAGAGGCATAGTGTTCTTAAAAAGTTGACCAGTCTTTATTCTTATCCTTATAGATAAGCCATCCAGTGTAGCCTTAGTACAACATGTTTTAAAAATATAACAAAAATTACCTGGGCTTTCTCAATAAATTCTAGCAAATATGACATATTTTTCTACTATTTTCATGATAAAGAAATATTTTCTGTCAGGAAATTCTTTACTTAATAATCCATAAACCTATATTCTTACTTTCCCAATTATTTAAAATGAACAATACTGTTTTCCTTGTGTTAAAACTCTAACAATAAAAGGTTTGCCACTTGCTATAAACCTGACTTCTGTCAATCCCATTTTTATTTTGTGTTGTAAATTAATATCAACCTATTCCTGCAGTGGTTCAAGTTCTCACCATATGAAGACCTTAGTTTTCCAAGGATACACTATATATATATATTATCAAAATTAAACTAGCTGATATTATAATACACAACTGTCAGGTTTGTTTTAGTAATCCAACTACTGATGTACCATGTTTATTTGCTTTTCACCCTCCCCCATTCCAGTGCATGCCTATTACTCAGCTCAAAGTACTGCAGTGCTGCAAGCTACATAAGAGTCAACATATTTGACATTAATTTTAAGTACATTCCAAGGGGGTTAGACACAGGTATATTCAAGTTCAATTTTAATACTATAAATCTACAGTTTAAAATATTAGTTTAAAATTATAGAACATCTATCTAGATGTGTAGGGATGTTTTGCTGTAATCTAAAATGCTTCTGTATTAGACCCATCTGAAAAAATTTCATAGTTATATTCAAAATGCTAGTTTACCAACATCACCTCGGTAATTTATTTGTCTTTAAATAGTGTGCTGTTGGGCCTCACAGAAATTCTACGTGTTGTCTTAAAACGAAGTTCACAATGGACTAGGCCTGAAAAATAGGCTCTGTCGTCTCACTGCCTTCAACTCATTCACTGTTTTTATTTATCCCTCACATTTCTGTCTTTGTGATTAAACCATAACATACTAATGTGAACAAAAAAAATCTCCCCATTGGAGAAGAATAGATCAACATACAAATGTTGGCCTTTTTCTCCTTAGGTATGTCTTTAAAATAAACAAGTCTGTCAGAGTTATTGTTCTCATCAACACAAACCTAGATCCATATTCTCGCCAAACAATCATCCGATGTTGCTTCCTACAAAAACAGATATTAGCAAGAGGAATGTCATCCGTCTACTCTCGAAATCTCCCTCCCCCCCCCAAAAAAAGGCCAGCCGAGGAAGGGGGCTGGAAGTACATGGTGGGCAAAGTCATCCTCCGGACGATCCCCCCCCCCCAAAACACACATTCCTCAGGTTTAAGCCTACGCATTATTTGGGAGGCGGGATGGATCGCAACACCTACTCGCCCCACTTACTTGAGGCCCAAACCGTGGAGGTGCTGCCCGATGAGCCGGATCACATCCTCATCGGATTGCGAAAGTCTCTTCTTCTTCTTCAGGGCACTGCTGCCGACGCCGACACCGCTGCCTCCCCCCATCTCAAGCGCGGAGCCGCCGGGGGCCGAGACCCCATTATTGACACTCGAGCCGCCACCGCCGTCGCCGTTGTTGGCCGACGGCAGCAACCCATTGGCGTGAGCTAACTGCTCTCCAGTGGTCAATCCCGACGAGGCCTCGCCGTTTTGGGCGTTGAGGCAGCCCAGATCCGGACCCTGTGACGACGACGACGAAGGCGGCGGCGGCGGCGGCTGTTGCTGCTGACCCCCTCCTGCTCCGTTGGCCTGCATGGCGCTGCCGCTGGCTCTGAGGGGGGTGGCAGCCGGGGGGGCAAGCCCGCAGGAGAGCGAGGGGGATGAAGACGAGGTGAGGCCTGCTCTGCCCGCGGAAGCCCCGGGCTCTCCTGCTCCCTCCGCCGCCGCCGCCGGGGAAGCCCGCGCTTTCTTCCGCGGTGGCGGGGAGGCTCCGCCGGTGTCCGAGTCGGAGGAGGAGGAAGCGGAGGCCAGAGTTTCCTCGCCGAGAGCGGCCGTGGTGGGAAGCCGGGGGGGGAGGGGAGTGAGGAAGGGGAGGAGGGGGTAGGGTGGGATGGGGGAGGTGGCGGGGTAAGGAACGGGGAGCTGTTCCTCTCCCCGCGGCTGTTAGACAGCAGCAGCTGCTGCTACCCTTTCTACGGTCCCGCCAGAGAACGCGGCCCGAAACAGCCCCCGCCTGGCAGCCCCAGGTACACAACCCGCTCCTCTCCACTAGCTGGTCGGTTTGAGGCTCTTCTGCCTAGCTGCAGCCTAATGGAGTCTGGGCCGGGACGTCACAGGAAATTCCTATACTGCCCCTTCACTCACTTCCGCCGCCGCCGCCTGGGGTAGGCTTCGGGGTATGGCTGCGGAGGAGCTCGGGACGCTCTCGACAGCACCACCCCCTGGGCGGGCGCAGACCCCCCGACTCAGGGGGCTTTTGTCATAACACCTGCCGGAGGGGGGAGGGGACTTCCCGGTGATGATTCGCTTCAGATGCCCATATAGGGAATGGCAGGTAGAAATACCAATAAAGGGTACGCTCACTTGGACCTCTTTCTAAAACAAAACAAAAAAATTCTTTCTCTGTGGCTCTGCGGTTTCAAATTTTGAACGTCCTTCTATATATTATCCGATTTAAGATCTTCTTCCCGAGTAATAAAAAAGTCTTGTGGCTTCGTAGCTTTAAGTATATTATTCCCTTTTAAGATACCAACTCCTTTGTTTTTAACTCCCGCAGACTGACATGGCTCCTCTCTTAAAATGGCATCAATGGCTTCTTTTTGTACTTTGTAAATAAATATCGAGATGTTGTGCCGTGATATTTGTGAAGGAATGTGGGTTATATAGTTTTTCCGAAGTAGCCGGAGAAAAACTTTCCCCCCTTTATCACCATCCGTAGTTCAAAACTCATTTGGTAGGTTAGATATGACAAGCTCTATCAAGCCTGGCACAGCTGTAGAAAACTTTTTTCCATTTATTTTCAAAAGTGGGGGAAAAAAATTAGGGTGTGGTATTGGAGGAAAATTATAACATTGAGATAAGAAAATACAGTATTAAAACACATTGGTAAAAACTTAATATGGACCTTTCTGTAGGGCAATTAAGTAGCCTCAGCTATGTTTACTTTCTCTTTAAAAATTAAATAGTTCTATAATAGGACAGTTTACATGACATACTAAAGTAAGGGTGTCAAACTCACATCATCACTGCGGTGTCACATGACGTATCAGGACTTTTTTTCCCTTCGCTAAACCGGGCGTAAGTTTGACAGCCTTGCACTAAAGCATAATATAGTACCATATCCCCCCACCCCCAAAACTACCGTATTTTGTGCTGCTGTCACCCCCCTACTACCTCGCTCTGTTCATTAAATAGGGTAAAAAGCTTACCTAACACTGTGTTGTGTAAATTCAAAAGTTGTCAGTTGGAACATTTGGCCTTGAGTTCCTAGAGGAAAGACAGGATATAAATTTAATAAATTCAATTAATATAAATGAAACCCATTCTAGATTTACTTAATACAATTAGCCTAAGGTATACTTTTTGGCATACTGTATGTGTTTGGCATACACATACCTAAGGTATGTGTAAAGTATACACAGTGGGGAATAGGAATAGGAAACTGCGTGTATGTTTTTATTCATCAGGTTGACTTGCTCAGTTTGTCCTGTCGGCCATAGTAGGACAAGCAATGCTAGATCATATTATGGTACTCAGGAACCAGCCTTCCTGTCTTCCAAGTTCTCTGAATCCATTTCAGACTGATCCAGGTTAGTTTGATTATAGACACTGAGAGGCTAGAGCATGGGAATGTTTACCCTTTTTAAGTATACAGGGCACACTAAAAATTAAAGCTAGTTAGTACTTGCCTTTTCAGGCCTGTAACTGAGCACAGAGAACCATGAGCCGATCGGTACTCACTTAACTGCCAATTACTCAGAATATCAACCTGTTCCTGAGAATTGCACCTAAAAAATACAACCTTTCTTAAACACAAACACACACAGAGAGAAAATTGCTAGCATTTATGTGACAAAACCTCATTTGCCTTTCAAGTTCCTTAGGCTGATTTAAATACTACTCTTTATGTTGGTCCCATGCCATCATCCCACCACAGTAAAGTTATAGGAGGCCCTGGGAAAAAATGTCAAACTAAGTGTCCCTTATAATACAGTTATAAAAATTAAGATCATTCTGGTAACCAACCTCCAGTGAGAACACAGACCACTCCTTAAAATTCAATGTAGCCCTATGCTATAGCTTCTATAGAGGCAATTTCTGCTTAAAATGTTATTTCCTCATCAGTGAATAGAACACCATGGATAGAGGAATAATTCCGTAATAATCACAATCATATATGATTTATTGTGGGCACCCGTTATTAGATTTGTACCCCTGTCTGGAAGAATCTGTAGTCAAGCTAGCATTCTTTCTTTGCTGAGATTGACTAAATGCCTTTGGAAGTTTACAGTAGACCATGAATATATGCACAACCTCTTATGTATTTCCTTACAACTGGTATTGAGAGGAATACATTTTCCAATATTGGACATATAAAAATTCAGTTAATGAATGATCACATATGATAAGTTGCCATTGATAGCTTCTTTATTAATTTGTTTATATTTTTAAAAGTACCACTACGCCTGAAAAATGCAGTAAAATATTAAACCATTTCATATGTGATACAATAGTGTATACAAGAAAGAATAATTAGATATTATTATAATAATATTCCAGGCATTATCCAGTTCATGGTCATTCTCCACACAAAACATATCCTATCTGACAAAGAATTAATGATTTGCTGACTGTTTATTGAGTGAAAAATAAGCATATATAAGATGTCAATATGTAAATTCCACAATATATAGTAAATGTGTTCTGCTATGTGAGCTGCTAAATGACGCTTGAACTCCCATGCCTGGCCAAAAATTCAGAATTGTACAGGATGTGTAGACAAGAATGTCTCCTATTTATGACTCTTTTGTATTTTCCTACCACATTCCCATTCTTTCTCCATTCCAGAAATGATCTATTAAAAAAGAACAAAAAAGGAACACTGACAAAATGCCTTTAAATTCTTGTGTAATCCTAGTTGTTCTAATTTCCAAAATTCTACAAGCACTGCCACATCACCAGCATTTCCACACTTTAATTCCCTACAAAGCAGTTTGAAACTACATGAAAGGAAATTAATCCAATCAGTCTCCTGCTCCAGTGTCACTTTTATCCCATAGAAAAAGGGAAAACAAAACAAAACAGGACTAGGACTCTCTCCTCTCATGCTTTCCAGTATATGTGTTTGCATGAATTTGGTAGCTTAGAAGGGCTACAATGAGAAGTTATACAAGGAAAATTTTTATTTATAACAAATACCAATAAACGTTTTATCTTTTCCAAAGGCTTCCAAGCTGCTTTGCTATCGTTTCCCTATGTTTAAGAGCCCAGGTAAGTTGTGAAGGTAAAAAAAGTATATCAGCAATTTTGTCATTTGGTTTTCTGAATACCTCTACCCAATGTTGCTGCAATCGCTGTGGGATGTGTGTTTGGGTGAATCAGTAGATTGTCAGTTCTAACTAATATTAAGATAGGAATATAATGCTGAAATCCTGGGTGTGGGGTGACGTGGGGAAGAAAGAGGCACTAATTAATAGCTTAAGCTCCAGAAGGTGACACAAGGCAACAATGTCCACCAAGAGAGAATTTGACTGTCTACAGCAGGGGTGTCAAACTTGCATCATCACGTGACGTATCACAACTTTTTTCCCCTTCACTAAATTGGGCATGGGCGTGGCCAGCACGTGACACATTTGGCCTGCAGGCCGCAAGTTTGACACCCCTGTTTTGCAGCTTTTTCTAGGAAAGTAGAGTAGAGTCAGAAATAAACTGATTCAGCTTCTCAAACAGACAATGGGATTGGCCTAGTTAGTACTGATCTCACAAAGTGGACCAAACCACTGGTGAAGAAATGCCTATGCATAAACAAGATATAGCTAAAATTAGCCTGTCTGGATCATATATCATTTCAAGATTGGTTTGCTTTAATCTTGATAAATATTTTACTAATATATAATATTTTAAATATTAAATACTTATTTCTAGAATATGCACAGATTCAAACAACACTAAACACCGTTTACTAACTACAGTGGCTTGGTTCACTTACCATGTTAAGGCAGAATGTTGCTTGCTTAATTTAGCTCAGAATATGGTGTGTACCCTGTCAGCATAGAATCATAAAACCTAAAAACCCAGCTGGAATGAGCAAAATGTTTGTAGCAGGAGATGCACTTATTTTTTGGGAAAAGTGATATTATATTTGATAAGCCCGCAATCACAATATTTTTTCTGTTGTATTTTTAGGATAGTCTTTCCTTATACCTCTTCCTATTGTTTTTTTCACATATAATAAAACCAAATATGGGCCTTTTGAAGAGGTTTTTAAAATGGGATTATATTATTTCTCTTCAGCAAAAATTCTAATACATTTTTTACAAGATATGGATGTTATTCACTGTGCTTTGTCTAATCCCAGTTTATAAAATGTGAGGTACTTGCAGTCTCCTTAAATAATAGAACTTTAGGGACTAGTCCAGGCAGTTGCCAGGAATCAAAAACTTACTCAAAGGCACACACACTTAAATAATACTTTCAATCTCAATGGAGTGCAATTGTTTTTCTCATTTCCACCAATCTATTATTGTGGGTAACAGTCACAGCCATTGTGTGTTGTCTACATCGTAAAAGTAATTTGTCTTCAGTTTTGTAACACTATAAATATAAGACTATGTCTTGTATCACATTGGCTGATGCAATAAGCTTTATCTGTACTTTAATCACAATAATATATAATATATAGGCATATCACAACAATTTTATTATATGTATACAATGAATAGTGCCTCCATTACTATTTTAAAAATATTCCATTTATTGTTGAATATGTCATCCTCACCAAAGTAGCTTTCTATTTCATTGATTATTTGTGCTACTTTACTTTTTTAATTTAATTATGTTTATTTAGTATCAGCAAGATACTAGGTATCACATTACTTATACTATAAGATAAGAGATTGTGAGTTATGATGTCATTGATATCATAGGCACAAATTAAAATATATTCAGAGAGTTGCTATGTGTATCACTAGTCACATTGCACTATATTTGCACCATGTCACTAAAAGAGTTTGGGACATTTTAGCTTTCTAGACAGCATTCTTCCCCTCAGTCGTGCTGTGGTGTCTATATCTACAAAAATCAGTGTCATGTAGGCAACAGTATTGACAATTTT